AAGAATAAAGGAAAAAAATTGTCATCAAAAGATTTGGAACATGATCACCTGTGGTTTAACAATCAGAATAATGCATCTTTAACAGCAATTGATTTAATCAAAGGCATTGTTCCAAAATTTTTATCTGACTAAATCAATAAATTTCTCAATAATAGAATGCACACTAAAGAAATTATAACTAATTTTGTCAATGAACTTCAAAAAGAAATTCTAGAAGAAATATGGAAACCACGTTGTGAAATAATGCTAATCAATGAACATTCTGCTGGTATAGATAGAAAGCAAAAACATAAAAAGAAACCATTAAATTATGTATCTACAATATCTAATAATCATAATATCCTTAATGACAATTTAGAATTGGGTAAAAGAGGGATATTACATTCAATTAGATTTGGAGGCGAGTGGTTGGATTTTATAGTAATAGTTAACTAGCCATTGAATCGAGAATACCAGTTAGGTGCATAGGCATTAACTTTAAGTAGGCCTAGCTGGTTCGATTTTTGAGTTACTAAATGGCCATGCACTCCAAATTTTTTTTCTTTGGATTAATAGTAGCAGGGGCAGTAGTTTTATTTTTTTATTTAATTGTTTGTATTTTATTATTATATTTTACACAATTATACTTTAATAAAAATAAACTTCAACTTTGGGAAAAAAAAGATATTAATATGAAAAATCCGTTAAAACTTTTAAAGCGAGATAAAATAATTATAGAAAAATTTTGTTTTGAAAGTTTATCCGTTAAGCCCTAAATCCGCTAAACTGAGATACTAATGCCAATGTTAATGTTAATACTATGTAATGCTGTATGACGAAATGTTTTTGGAATTGAGAAACTATTTCGTCAAATGTACTAAAAAACGATGAAAGACTAAACCCTTGACGAAAGTCAAAATCATTCAAAAATTATTGAGCAAAACAAAAAATTAGAAAATCAGACTTAACTTTTTATTAAAATAAATTTTTTTTATCTCTTAAACGGTCAAATTATTCTTTAATGGTAACGCGAAATGATTTTTTGATCACGACCTTGCATTCTTATTGGCCAATTTAACGATCTGCAAAGTAAAAATAGTCAATCGACCAACTTTTAAGGAAGATTTTACGAAAACCACAAGGACAACAGTGTTGTCACCAGAAGCTCTTTTGGCTTCCCCGAAACGTTTCGGAAAATCAACTTACATCAGGAAATTTTTTTTACGCAGGTTTACGTAATTATTACACTATCTATGTAAGTTTACGGCGGGCCCGTAATATTATGCAAATAAGCATACAAAAATTATGCAATTATTATATCGAGTGTAAATATTACATAATTTTTATGCAAATATTACAACTTTACATATTAAAATTTATGGACATAATATTGCGGCGGGAAAAATTTCCTGATGTACACTAAGCAGAAAACTAAAACTAAACCTAAAACTAAACCTAAACTACTAACCTAAACTAGTTTCGGGTGGTTTCTGTTAGTTTCTGTTTCTGGTTTTCCCTAAACTCAGAGTTTCGGGTCGCAACACTGAAGAACAACAATCGAATTTTTATTCACATATCAAACAGCTGAATCCCAAAGATCATTTTCGTATTAGGAATTAATACATTCAGAAAAAGTTTTTTATAACAGAAAAAAAATTTCGGCTATCAATAGCCGAAAAACCGTTTAAGGGATAGGTTTTTGTTATTTTCTAATATTGAATTCAATTTATTATTGAAATTAGATATTTCGATATCAAGAAATTTTCCAGATAAAACACTCCTAGATGGTGGTTGATATTCAGGACAGGGTTGTTGAAGAAGATCTATAAAGTATGGATTACTGAAAACTGAAAAAGAAATTCCACAGCAAAGAAATGCTTTGATTAATGCCCAATTAATAGAATCATTGCATTTTTTTGTCAACAATGCGTGCTTTAATAAAATTTGAAATTGGCTGTTGAGTTGTTAATGATTCTAAATTTTCATTGTTATTATCATCATTTTATTTGCCTTAGACATTCTTTTCTAATTTCATGAGTACAGCCAGGACAATGATTTGTTAAATGTGATAAAAGTTTTTGTGGTTATCCATGACTAAACCTTTTTGTGCAATACTTGCATTGTGCAGAGTAACAGCCTTTAAATTTTTCTTCTTGTTTTTTAGTAAAATGAATCCACAAATTTGAGGAAGGTTTAGCAGATAATTTATTTTATGGATCTGACATTGTCTTAAACAATAATATCTCATGAACTTAATATTGGATATGAAAAGAAGGTGAAAGCTGCTTGTAATTTGAATAGTTTATGGTCGTTTTATATACTAATTTCAATTCAATATAT